TCTCCCTTTCTTTCTTTGAAACATTTTTAGAGAAGGAAAAGGAGGAAGGGAAACATCAATGTGTGGTTGCCTCTCACATGCCCCTCACTGGGGACCTGGCCTGCAATCCAGGCATTTATGTGCCCTGACTGGGAAGTGAGCCAGAGACCCTTTGGTTTGCAGGCTGGTGCTCAGTCCACTGAGCCACACTAGCCAGGACTGTATTTCTTTTTTTTTCACCAGTTCCAATAAAATAATTATGTACTATATAAACATATATGTATATACACACATATGAACTATATACATATATGTATATATTAATATGTGTTCATATTCTGATTATACTATATATACACACATATTAATATATACATATGTGTATATATTAATATGTTTATATAGTATATGGTTATATATAATTATAATATAATATATGAGTATATATGCCTGCTGGTTTTGTCACTTGCTAGCTGTGTGATGTTGGGTAAACTCCTTAATCTCTCTGTGCTTCAGGACTTCCATCTGGAAAGTAGGGCCCCTATAAGTAGGGCCTATCTTCGGGTTTAGATTAGAAAATTCATTGAGTTTCACAGCAGTATGTGGTGGAGACAGGGACCTTCACAAGCAGAGTACCACTGTCTCAGGGCCGCTAGATTCCCCCTCCACCCGCTTATTCTTCTCAGGGGTTTGGGGGACAGTCAGACCCAGCCTGGGTGTCCTGGTGGTCCTGGCTGGGCCTGGGGGACCATTTCTTCACCAGGATGTGTGACAGTGGAGGGTCCAAGGGGCTCCGGGGTGGCTTGGACACATCTTCACAGATGGTCACTTTTGGTCTCTGATATTTCTTTGAGGTAGTATTTTCTCATCAGGAAATGCCTTGAGTTGCATCCCCTCACAGGGACAGGGTTGCTTTCCATGAATCAGAAAGCCGCATGGGACCGCACCAGTCAGACCGTGCCAATGGCTGCAGATGGCCTTTGTCCTGTCCCACTCCTTGCAGGACATGTGGTGGCCACTGGGGCATAAAGGGGAACAAGAAACACACGTGACTGCACTCACAGGTCTTCCAGGAGGACATTGAGACAAGCAGGTATAGCCGAGTCACCTGAGGGTTTGCGATAGGCATAGCTGTCTGGGGTGAAGGCAAAGGTTCCTATGGTAGAACCTTCATTGGGCTGAGAAGTCAGGGAAGGCCTCCTGGAGGAAGCAACCTCTAAGCTAGCGGAGGAGGAGTTGGCCTGGAGAACAGTAAAGGGCACACAGTTAGTGCAATGGCTCAGAGGTGCAAGAGAAAAGATGGAGTTGAGGGTATAAGAAAATGTGTGGCCAAAGGTGTTGTGGGGGAGGGGAGCGAGAGGAGGGGAACCAGCAGTCTTTCAGGAAGTCTTTAAGTCTTCCAGGAAAACAAAGACATAGAAATTGCACATGTCAGCTCCTAGAACTGCAGCATCACCGGGTTCCTGTGGCAACAGGCCCAGGTTGCCTGAAGGACTGGTTCCTCCAGATCGTCTGGCAAACAGCTGGTGCTCAATCCTGTTAACGTTTTTCTTCCTCTTTACTTCCTCGTCTGCTAACTCGATCAGCAGCACATCTGAGCATTAAAACGCCTGAACACCAAGGTACTTCAGGGAAACTACGACAGAGCTCTCTTCCACTCCATTCAGTGAGAATGCCAAACCAATTTGTAGACAGCTAGCCAAGCGGAGGTTGACCTTTCTTCCGTCTGCAGAGTATGCACACGAAGAAGGCCGAGCTACGTGATAGAAAGACTATTTATCCCAGTTAACGAACATTGCCAAGCCTTTTCACAGCATCGTGCAAGTAGGAATGACAAGTGGGAAGGACAAGTCATTCCTACTGAATGCAGGAATCAGCACACTTTTTCTTCCCGGCTGCTGCATCAGTCAGGATAGGTGAGGTTGTGCTATAGTAACAACTAACCTCAGCCTCTCGGGGCCTTAGAAGCACAAAAGTTTGTTGCTTCAGCAGAGATCAGTGGGGGTCTTCCCAGGGCTGGAGGCCCTGAGTCATCTCCACTCGGGGACTCAGGATAGTGGTGCCATCCTTTCCTGATAAGTGGCCAGGGGCTGGGCCTGAGGGACTGTGTCCTCACCATCAATTAAATCTTTGAATCTTGAGACACATGTCACTTCCACTCCCAGCTCACTGGCCAGAACTGGTCATTTGGCCCCCATCACCCCCAAGGAGTTAGGAAGAGTACCCTGCCTCTGTGCCTGGAGAGCAGCAAGCCAGAAATACTCAGGGGGCTGGACACTGCAGTCTCCAACTTGAACATGAATAAGCTCTCTCCCCCGTCCAAACCGAAGACGCAGAAGTCTTGACAGTCTGGTTTTAATTAGTTGGGACTCATCGGTTTTGATTTCACCAAGTTCAAAAGCAGTTTAGAACTTGTTGCATCAACTTAGACAGCCTCTATCAGCTCAGGGGAAAATATACAAATTATTCTTATCTGCCTAATGACATCATGACATTTTTCCAACTTGCTTTATTGAAAATGAAGATGGTTGCGTTTCTTTATAGAAATCCTATAATTCCATAGTCTTGTGTGGGTATCCAGTAACAAAAGCCAATGAAAATAGGATGTTTCAAAGCCTCTGGAAACATCTACTGCATAATCATACATTCCACTTACCCCGAGCTCACTACGAACATGCCATTTTTCTAAGTGTTTAGCAAAGATTACCTATGGCATTTTTATCTGCATGGTAAGTTGTTGTTATTGCCACTCTACAAAGAAGAAAACCGAGGCTCAGAGAGGTTAGGCAATTTGCCCAAAGTCACACAGCCAGAGAACCCCACATTATATTCCACTCCTGTTTGCTGGAAAGCAAGATGCTTACTACCAGTAATTCTATTCTGCCTTCTGGGGGCAACAGATCCCTTGAAGGTAGGAGAGGGGCCTCTCTTCCCAAACATGCACCACTCTGGGATTTTCCTCCATTCGGAGGTTAAGTACTTGGGTCCCGCTGATGAAGCTCACGGTCGGCTCAGGAAAGGCAGCCTGGCAGCAGACCCTTTCTTAAATCCCAGCAGCTGAAACATTACCCAAGAAAGCACGTGACTGAGCAGAAGTAAAAGCAGGCCCGTGCTCCTCCACACCCAGGAACAGGGCATCTGCACACACACACACACACACACACACACACACACCCCGGCTGGGAATTCCCGGCCGTTCGTTTCCACCTGGCCTCTCCGGTCTGGAGAAGGAACGCTGGGAGAACAAAGTGCAGGGCACTCAGGACAAAGTCAGAAGGCTGTAGGTAGCTGTGATTCAAAGGGCACTGCCGGCCTTGGGCAGGTGGCAGTAGGGGGTCCTGGTGCGGGACGCTCTAGAACTTCGGCTGGGCACCAAACTTGGGGAGCAGGGAGACAGAAGAGGAAAAGGATGGGAAAGGCAGCAATAGTTTGGAGGTGCTGTTTCCCAGCCCTCCCACCCTGGCGTCTGAATTCAGTAGGTCTGAGATGGGGCCGGGGGGTCCACACTTGGAAGGGTCTGTGGCTCCAGGTTTCAGGAAACAGGGGTTAAGCTGCAAGTTCTGGACGAAGATTTGGGGTCAGAGCCTAGCTCGGCAGGTCACACATCCTCGGAGAGTTTTACTTTAGTCATTGTTAAGACAGGGGCCCTTGTGCAAAAAGAATTCAGCACATTGTCTGGTACATGGTAAGCAGGAAACAAACAGTGGCTATTATTACTACTACTATTATTATCATTATTATCTCAGAGTTCTGGTAGTTCTGCCACAGATTTCTGAAGGCCCTCAAACCTCCATACCCTCCGCATTAATTGTGGGAATCGCTTTAGCTAAAGCTTAGCTCTCAAACTGAAAGAGAAAATAAAACGCATAACATCCCCAGATCCCTGGGGAATGGCTCTGGAATGAAAAGGAAGGCTCTCCCACTCCATCCTCTTCCTGAGCAGCGGGATTTTTAACGTGAAGAGTATTTTCATTTCAAAGCCTCTGCTGGTGTTTTGCTGGCCGAGTGGTGTGGGGGAGGGGTTGCAGGGAGACTGGAACCTGGCCTCAGGCAGAGCTCCTTGCTGTGGCTGGCTGGGCGTGGGCAAGAGCAGGCAGGACTGTTCTGCCCTGCCCCGTGTCAAGGGTCAAGGGACAGCTGAGGTTCAGGTTCCGTCCACCATCATCCTTGGGCTTCAGGGGTTAGGGGTGGGGCACAAACCTTCTGAGTCACCCAAGAGGATAAGAACAAGAGAACCTACAAAAGTGGGTTTGTGTGCGTAATTTCCTGATGTTTCCATGGTGATTTTAATTTTAAAAAACATGGCATAGACATCGGCTCTAAGATGCCATGGATTGTAAGGCATTCTGATAGCTAATGAACCAATAAAGAAAAAGAGAACTGTTCATTAAACTATGACAAGCCATCGTTGGTAAGGCTCATCCTAATTCCCGAGATGTCACGACGTGGCAAAACATGCATCTTAGAACCCGCACGAGACTGTACGTCAACAGGCTGGAGTCACCCCGCGTCACCTTGCACACTTCCCGTTCCACATGACTGTTCATAGCAGCTCTTATGACACCACCCCAGGACGCCAAGGGCTTAGGGGCCACCGGCCGGTCCGTGTTTGGGTCCCATCTATGAAGGCCCAAGGCTCTCGGAAAGCAATCCCTCTTCCATCTTTATCTGGACCAGACACGTCAGAGCGGCAAAGAGGAAAATGTGGCTCAGCTGGCTCCCACGAGTCACCAGATCCCTGAGGGTGATGGGCCACCAGGTCACCAAGGTGAGCCAGCATGGGGCAGGGTGGCAGGAGGGTGGCTTCGTGAGGGATTCTGATCCCTGCAGGGCATGGGTCGAAGCCCCGGTGGAGCAGAGCCAGGCCAGGGCTCCGGCCCCTGCTGACTGTAAAAGCGCCTGCCGCTGTGCCCCACAGGGACTGAAGACAGGGGTCTCCAGAGCTGACCCAAGGAGTCTTGTCCCCTCCCTGGTTCCTTCCATCCCTCCTGAGGCTCCTAGAAAAAGCACCTTAGTTTGATTCACAAGACTTTTCCATTTTATTAGTAAAATACAAAATGGCACAGACATTGGTGATAGGGTCGGAAAAGCAAAAGGATCAACCAACTTCTTCTAAAGCCCTCCCCCAATTGTTCTTGTCAGTGTCCCACGAGGGGGACAAAGTCATTGGAAGGGACCAGCTGCCCCAGCTGCTTTCTGACAAAGGAGGGGAGCCCCATCACAGGGACCCCAGCCCTTGAAGGCTCCCAGCTGGCAGGAGCCAAAAAAAAAAGTGCGTTCGGACCTGCTATCCCCCTCAAAGTGCCCCCCAACTCAAGCCAAGCCTAAACGAGGGGTGCCGTGCCCAGCAGTGGAGTGAGGGGAGGCCCGGTCCTTTCTTTGCTTCTTCTGAGTACCCATCTGTGAAGGAATGTGTCACTTGTGTCTGGAGGAAGCCCAGCCCCTGGGAGGTTTCTCAGGTGGAGGGCAAGGGTCACCCTTGGGGATAATCAGAGGGAGGGGGGGAGCTGCCGCCAGGGACCTTGCAGGGCGAGGCCTGCTGGTCCGGCTCCGACCACAGGGTGCTGGCCGACCGGCAGGCCTCCAGCCTCACCCAGGTCGGCCCGCCTGAGTCCTCAGCAGCTGAAAGGAACCCACGTCTACAGCATCCCTTCCTCCACGGACAGAGCTCCTTTCAGAAAGAAACATGAGTGGCTCAGACCCTATAGAAAATGTCAGGGACATTTCTGGCTCTGTCCACCATGGGGAGAACACGGTGTGCGGAGAGCAGTTTTTTCTGGGAGCCAGAGAGGGGATCAGGGAACCCTGGCCTCAGGCAGAAAGACCAAATGCGGGATTCTGGACCTTTCTCTGGAGGGCCTCAGCCTTCCCCAGAGCCTGCAGGCCTCCCCGCCTCCTTCAGCCTGTCATGTGTCACCAGGGCTGTGTCAGTGTCCCTGTAAGCCTGGTGGACACAGAGAGGGGCTGTTCTCAAAGTCAGAAAGGGTCCTTAAAAGTTGGTCTCTGCCCCGCAAGTGCCCCACCCTGGGGGCCCACAGTGCTGACCACCTCCAACAGGGCAGGACTGGGCCGTGGGGCTCTCCCGGTGACAGGGCCCACGGATGTGCCCGTTTCGCCCATTGGTAGAGAAGGACTAAGGTGTTCTGCTGAGGACAGCTGAGAGGCTGTCCCCAGGGTCTGGGGAAAGGGGTCCCTGGACCACGTAGGGATGGCAACAGTTGGGGCACAGGTTATCGCCACATATCCGCTGTCCAGCTTTCCTTTCACAGACGGGAGGCCAGAGGGACGGACGCCTCGTCAGGCTGATGGCGGCTCTGGGACTGGGGCCCCAGGCTTCCCACTCGGAGCCCATGTTCCTTCAGCACACAGCGCAGACCGAGGAGGGGAAATGACCAAAGCGGCTGGGAACTTCATCTCCCCTTCCCAGGACGCCTCACTGAGGGCAGAGCCTTCATGCGGAACAGTGCCAGCAAACAGCACACCTACCTCATGCAAGAGAAAAAGGTCCCCAGCTGGGGCGTGGGCTCTGCACAAGGGGCAGGGGGGATAGCACCGCAGGTGGCCGGGTGACTGGTGACGGCAGCAGGACCAAGAGACATGATGAGGTTGGAGGGAGTGGGCAGAGGGCCTGGTCTGAGGCTCACCGTGAGGTGGGATGACCGTGGTACCCACGTGGGGACCCGGGCCCGAGGGGCTGAGCGTTCAATAAATAATTGTCCATTGGGGCTGGGACGGTGTCAAAGGAGACCTCTGGCCAATCAGCAGCAGAAGAGAGTTTTCTGACCTGGGGACAGTGGCATGAGTTGCAGAGGCCACACCCTGTTTCTAATAGGTTAGTGATGGTCGAGGTGGCCCCCGGGGCCTTCCCAGGACCTGGGGGCAGCCCAGCCCCACCCAAAGGGTCTGGCCTCCTTGCTCCGGTCATCCCAGCTCGGGCCAGGCCCTTGGGTGAGGGTGGGGGGCGTGGGGGACCCCAGGCAGCTGTTTGAGTTGTGCATCGACACAGGCGGGTGGGCAGCTCACACGGGCACCAGGACATACGAGTTACTGCCACAGCTCCGGGGGACATGGCGAAGCCCTTCCACCATGTCCCCTGCCACGTTGCGGGGACAGCCCTGCAGGCTTTGATAGGCGAACATGGCCACCCCCAGGCCGAAGAGGAGGCCCAGGAAGGCCAGCAGCCCCACTGCCTGTCTCCTGGTAGCTTCCTGGGGGTTGAGGACGGACTTGGCCGTGAGGCCCCCACTGCTTGAGGTCCCGGGCATCCTGGGGAGGGCCTCTTCGGAGGGGGTTAGGACCGTGGAGACATGGGGCACGCTGCCAGTGTCCCATGGGGCACCCGTGGATGCATCTGTGGGCCCTAGAGAGCCCTCTGATGTGGGGTCCTGTGTGCTGATCTGCATGGATGGGCCTTCAGACCCAGTATTGTCCTCTGGAGCCCTGCGTGAGAGAGTGGGGGACTGTGTGGAGGGGGCCTGGGTGCTGGGGGCCTGGGTGGAGGGGGCCTGGGTGGAGGGGACCTGGGTGGGGAGGGTCTGGGTGGAGGGGGCCTGGGTGGGGAGGGTCTGGGTGGAGGGGGCCTGGGTGGGGAGGGTCTGGGTGGAGGGGGCCTGGGTGGAGGAGGTCTGGGTGGAGGTGGCCTGGGTGGAGGGGACTTCAGAGGCCTCTCCCTCAGTCCAGAGGTCCGACCCAGGTTGGTGAGCAGAAGAGCTCCACCAAGCTCTGGTGACGGCAGTGGTGCTGAAAAGCTCAGCCGAAGGTCCTCCAACCGGAGCCTTTGAAGTGCTGGGCGACCTGGTCCCCAAGGAACCACCCAGACCAGTGGGCAGCTCCGGGGAAGTCCCCAAGGCCGTCTGTGTCTCCCGGATACTGCTTTCGCCTGTGGCTCTGGGCTCGGAGCCTGCAGACTTGTCCATGTCCCCGGAGGCCAGGGTGGTGGTGGGCTCATCCCCGGTCCGCTTCTCAAATACGCCATGGTTTTCAACAGCCGCCGCAGCTCTTCGGTCTAGATTCTCCATGGCTTTGCGGACCCATTCCTCCTCTGGGTCAGCACAGAACGTTCTGTTTTTCTTGGTCTTCAAGCTATAAGGCAGGAAGACAGGGACCCAGTGATGCCCAGAGGCCGTGCGGTAGGGGTCTCCCGGGAATGCTCTGAGGCTGAACAGGCCAGGCCAGAAGTCCTGCCCCCACTGCTTCCTAGCAGAGAGCTCACCTGTGTCTTCACCTGAGAAGTGAAGATAAGACACCTACTTTCTGGGAGGGTGACCAACCGTCCCAGAAAAACTGGGACTGAGGGGGTTCTTGAGAGGCTGAACTTTTGGGGAAAGTCCAGGCAAACTGGGAAAAGTTGGTTGCCTGCTTCTGTGTTATTGTGAAAAAAAAAATACCCCCAAAAGTATGTAAGGCACTTGGCTCAGAGTAGGAGATCAGTAATAGCTGAAATAATAACACTGCTAATAATATTGTCCTGGCCGTTAAGGCAGGGGCTCTGGCCTGAGTCTTTTGATTGGGAGGAGAGGTCACAGGCGTCTACTGCCACCAGGTGTGTGACTGGCAAGCTCTATGGTGGGACCGCCTCACTCTGGAGAGGACTCAGTGTCACAATGTGGTCTTCCTCCTCTCCCTCGGTTACAAGCTGGCCCTTTTCTGCTAGTGTGTGTGTCTTCGGGTTAAAACGACACCTCGTGAGCTACAGCCACATATGTGGTGGCCTCGTTGGGACCCCAAGTGCCACCCAAATCTTGAGCTTCCTCTGAAGTCGTGTGTGGCTGTTTTTTTGCTGAGACCACAGCTCGGAGCTGCCCGGTGCCAGTCATTTTGCCTGTTTAAATCTTCTGCTCTTCCTGCGAGGAGGCCACCACGCTCACCCCCATTTTTCAGATGAGAAAACCAAGGCCCAGGAAGGTAACGTGACCCTGTAGGTCTCACAAGGCACCAGTGAGGCCCCAGGGCTGAGATCCCTCCCTGGTGCTTCCTACTTCCCTTTACCCCAGAAAACAGAAGCAAATGTGTGGGGGATCGTGGGGAAGCGAGCCTGGTGGGTGAGCAGAGAAGCCGAGCAGAAGCACACTGGCCGCTCTTGAAGCAACTGCACAATCAACGGACCCACCGATGGGAGTGAGCGATGACCTCCTTTAGCTGAGCCTCCACTTCAAAGGTTCCCTAGCCATTGCTTGCCAGCGCTGCTTTGGGACCCAAAGTTCAGTCCCGGAAAAAGGCCTCAGGGCTGCGCCATTGGCAGTACCTAAGAGGCACCCCTGAGGAGCAAGCAGCCAAGATGACTGGGGGGTCCCACGACCATGGAGGAAGCTGGCTTGGCTGGACTCCTGTCCAAAGTCTCCTAGACATCCTGTTTTCTCGTCCCCTGGAGAAGACCATCTCTGCCTGTCATTGTCAGCAGCTTCTGGGCACCCTGCCACGCACTTCAGTTACATTATCCCCATTCGTCCTCCCAACCAACTGCCTTACGGGGGTGGGCAATGGGAGCAAGGCCGCCCAGCCTGTAAATGGCGAAGGCAGGATTCTCACCACGCCTGCCGGTGCCGTAACCAGCACTCCAAGACCACCGTGCTATACCTCCTCTCGAAATCCAGGGGGCTCTAGAGCTGCACAGAGCACTCTCTGGTCCAGGAGAAATGGCCCCCTTGGTAGCTGCTCTGGGCCGCAGGCCATGCAGGAAACAGCTCCCCACCTTGCATGTGGAACAATATTAAGGTCAACAAGGGGGTCAGCAGGCCAGGAGAATGGCACTGGCCAAAGCCCTTGGCTAGGAGTCCGGGTGGGGGTAGGAGGATGTGGACGTGGCTGAGCAGAGGCCTGGGACCGTCCCCAGGGCCCTGATGGGGGCACGGAGGCTGAGAGGGTGGTACCTACATGATGGCAGGTTTGCCGCATGATGCTTGATTGCGTTGGTAGCTGACTAGAAGTTTCTCAGGGATCTTCGAGGTCATGTCCTTGCATGTGATGTTGCACTTGCTCACACCATGGTGCTGTCCTGAGACCACAGAGGTCTCTGGTCAGCAGGACTGTCCAGGGGCATCAGGCTTCCCAGCCCCGTGACAGTGTGTCCCAGCCACCCCTGCCCCCCCCCCCCCCCAGGAACCAACACTCTGTGCACCTGGCCTTCCAGGTCCTTGACCTCAGCCTCTCACCCTGCCACACCCCCCTCCCCCTTGTCTCTGGCTGAACTTCTCTGTGCCTTAGTTTCCCCACCTGTAAAATAAGGACGATGATGGTGTCTACCTCAAAGGGTAGTCGTAAGAACCCATGGAAGTGAATTCTGGCTTATAGAGCTCTTATTGCCTGGGACATCAGACGTGTTTAATTTAAAAAATTCAGTCACTATAGCCAGTCTGTGGTAAACAGAGGAGAGGAGTCCGAGAGTGACAGGGATCTGCCTGAGGCCACATAGCCGGCAAGTGACAGAACAGGCCCTCCTGCTAGGCCTGGCTCCCATCCTGCCTGTGGGTCTGTGGTGCTGCCCATCCCCCATCCCCTGCCTTTCCTCCATTCAGTCGCCTGCTCCCCGATCCCGGGTACCAGTGCAGGAAACACACACATCCCATTCCTCCCTCCCAAGCTGTCTATAGTCCCGGATTTCCACTACCTCTGAGACCTCGTGCCATCCACATCTCGTGGGACGACCGGCGACACGCACATGCACACCAACAAACACAGTGGCACGCACGTATGTGCGCACCCTTGCCCACAAACACGTACAGGCATACATACAACCAGGCACAGGGCACAGGTAATATAATAAAGTCTTCTAAAGGTGTAAGTACAACTGCCTTCTAAGGACCATGGGCGAGGGGGTGGGGCGTGCGCTGCTGAGTAGACCATGCTTTGTTCTGTCAAGAGCCAGGTTCAGTGTGGGAGAAGGTGAGGAGAGGAGCTAAGTGAATCGGCCATTTGGCGATCTCAGGGCAAGATGGGGGCAGGGCAGGAAGGAGGCGCAGGGGTGGGAGCAGAGGCGGGGGCGGGGTCTCAGCCGGCTGGCCACCCCAGCACAGGATGGGGCTGACTCAACAGTTGGAAACTCAGATTTTTTTTTTTTAAGATAGGCACTCTATTTACTTATTTTCTTTAGAAGAGGGGGAAGGGAGGGAGAAAGGGAGAGAAGCATCCCTTAGTTCCCTCTCACACGGGCCCCAACTGCCGGCCAGCCCACCACCCAGGCCTGTGTCCTGAAGGGAAATGGAACCCACGCGAGGTTTTGCTTTGCAGGATGCCGCTCCACCAATGGAGCCAGGTGGGTCAGGGCCCCATGTATTTTATATAAATGCTTGAGGTTGTTTGCACTGCATTACCACCTCCCCCTCTCCCTTAAAATCTTCAGTAAAATTGACTCTGCTTGGTGAAAGCTGGGCAGGGGTATGTAAAAAAATGAGGAAGAGACTGAGTTTCAGTTCTGGGTCAAGGTCCTGTGCAGCTGAAGCAAGACCCTGGAAGGCTTTGCAAAAAATCCAGAGGCCAGAACTTCCACGGCCAGCGGGTAGACAGAGCAAACGCATCTCATCAGGCTCTGCAGGGCTTAGGGGCACCCACTGGTCCCTGGACACCACCCACACACGCACCGCGCATGCGCAAGATGCAACCGCGTGGACCTGTGCACTAGTAGCTCCCGGGGGCGGGCGGCAGTGAGGGGAGCTCCCAGCAGCCGCCGGGCCCTGAGGCATGGGCTGCCTTTCTCTTTCAGGGATCAGGATGTGAAAGTCCCCCTTGCTATCTCATTTCCTCTTTCTCCCCAAGCAGGACTTCGGAATCACTCAGTGGCAGCCCTCAGGGGTCCTGTCCAGTGGATTCAGGAGGCAGCCCCCTGGACTGGCCCGGCAGCTGTCTTCCCGGGAAAAACCCCAGCCAAAAGGTGCCCCTGGGCGAGCTGGAGCCTGGGGGTGCCTGCCCAGTGGGCAGGAGGGATAAGCTGGGTAAGGCCAATTTGTTCTCTGGACCCAACCTCCCAGGGTGGGGAGGGCCACTGCCCACCTCTGGAGCCACAGATCGGCCTGTCCCCCGAGTCCCCACTCTCTTATCACAGTGCCTGAATGCCCTGGGCCAGGCTCTGTTCTAGGCCCTGCCCAGGGCAGGTCGTATAACTAACCTAGGGGAGATTTTCTTCTTGGAACTCGAGTTTTCTTTCCTGTAGATGGAGATACTGCCTCCATCTGGCCAGTCACTTAGTATTTGTCACCGAGTTTCAGGAGGGCAGGCCCTCCCTTGTCTGTCTGGGTATCATAATGTTTTCCAGCACAAGGGGGAGACTCAATAAATATTCGCTAAATGAAATAACGCCTCGATCTCATCCCCCCACACCCACCCATCCACCTACCCATCCATCTACCCACCCATCCTCCCTTTCATCCACCAGCGTCCTCATTCAGCCAACCTTGTTTGAATTATTTCTGAATATCTACGAAGACCCCGGTTCTCTTGTCCTCAACCCTGAACTCTCGCCGGTGCTGGTGCAGGGCTTAGAGAGATAATAACCTCAATCCCAATAAGTGCTACCAGGTAGCTGTGTTTGCTCAACTAACCAACAAACACTTACCCTCTGTCTTGTGGGAATAATGGGATTAACAAGGCCCATCTTTGCCTTCAGGAGGCGCTCAGCTCAGGGGGCAGCTAAAACACACAAAGTACCAGAGCCTTTCTCATTTGAGCCCCTACTATGTGTTAAATCCTATGCTCAGCACACACCTGCACACCTGCTCTCTTTAATTCTTAACATCCCTGCAAAGGGAGTATTATTACCCCCATCTTACAGAGGCAGAAACTGAGAATCAGAAAGGATAGATGACATGCCCAAGGCCACACAACTGCTTAGTGGCAGATCTGGCTGTCCTCCCGGGCCCTAGATAGATGGCTTCCCCAGGCTGCCTCAAACGCCGGGTAGAAGCACCATGTTCTGAAACACAGCCCAGCTGTGCTGGGGTTTATGCGAGAGAGAGACCACTTCCAACCGCAAGTGATCAGGGAGGCTTCTTGGAGGAGATGCCTCTAAGGCTTCAAGGACGACTAAGAGGCTTACAGATAGGGAGAGGCGGGGATGTTAGAGACAGGTGACAAGAGAGAGGGTTCGAGCGGATGTGAGGTGGCCGGTTGGGGTGAGTCGCGTAGGCTTTCTTAGCCTCGATTCCCTTCTCTGATAACACCTACTTCTCCGAAGACTGTGAAGATAAAGATTTCTAAATACCCGGCCCTTAGAGCAGGGTTTTCTGAACAGCAAACACCCCTGGTACCTTGGACCAGACGGTTCTTCATCCTGGGGGCCATCCTGTGCACTATAAACGTTTGGCAGCGTCCCCGGCCTCTCTCTACTCTCCGGGTGCCTGAGCACTACCCCGCAACCAAAAATGGTGGGGCATTTGCAACAACCAAAATATCTCCAGAAATTGCCAAATATTCCCTGGGAGGCCAAAGCCCCCCCCTGAGGACCACTGCCTGGAGAGATCTGTAGGGCCCCTCCCCCCTCCCTCAGTGCCCCCTTCTCAGGGAGATGTCCCTGACCCCTCACTTAAAATTTCAACACCTCTCCCTGCCTCCACCCTTTCCTTTAAAAGAACATCTCAGCATTTTTTTCTTTCTAAAAGATCAGATTATTGACTGATGTATCTTGTGTATTGTCTGTCTGCCCCCTATCGATGCTCACACCCTGAGGGCTGGGGTCTCGGGCAGTGTTACTCGCTGAGCCGGTCTCAGAACCAGGAACAGTGCCTGGCGCATCCTGAGCGCCCAGTAAATGTTTGTGGAAGGAATCAACAAAATGCACACAGAAGCACTTTGTGACGTAGAGGATCCTCACAAATGGAGAATTAGAGGAGTTTTTATTTAAATTCGACAGGGGCCTGGATCTGACACCCTGCGTCTGTCCTCCCCTGCCTTCCCCCCGCCCCACCCCCAGCACTGAGCAGGTGGCAGACTACAGCAGAGGGAGGCCGGGTTTTTCTTCCTTGCCGGGGTTCGAGTGGGAGCGAATGCGTCAGTGCCTGGGGAGAAAAATTCCCTGCTCTGACTTGTATCCGCAGGTTGGTTACATAAAGCCGAGGAGACACAGCGCAGGCACTGACGTAGCTGCCTTGCACCAGCCGGAGCAGCAGACAAGAAGCCCCCAGCCTCCCCTCAGGGCTTCTCTGACTTGCGGACCACGCGCTAGTCCTGCAGGGGCTCCCAGGGGGCCTCTGAGAGCCACAAATGTCAAATGCGGCTGAGAACCTCTAGGGTGGGCCTGGCCAAGTGCCTATTTTTACGGGAGGAGAAACGGAGACTCAGAAAGGTTGAAATACTGCAAGTGTCACCCAGCGAAGTCAGTGACCGAGATCAGGACAGGAACCTGATGGTCCTAAGGCCTGAGGCTGCTAGACAGAGCATCCAGGGTCCCCCCAGGATCCCCTCCCCCCTAGTGTAGGTGCCCCTCACTGCCACCCCTGGCTTAGTATAAATAATCTTCCTCCTCCTCCCACTTCCCAAATGTCTGAAGGTGCAGCAGCTGGGACCAAAGACAGCAAAAAACCCCATTCAGGGTCATGGCCAAGCACCTCCATTTGACTGCCCTTTTCTAGGGCTCACTCTCCCCAGACACCTTGGGCCTCGGCATTTCAAGCTCAGGAAACAGGAAGCCAGCAACGCCAGGTTTCTGCCACCCACGCCACCCCCACCCACCTGCTCCCTGCCCCACTAGTGGGTTGTCCCCACACAGAGGGTCTTGGGAGACAGTCTGCCCCATGGTGGTGTTCTGGGAGCTGGAAAGCGGTCCTCATCTTCCCAGGCTCACCGTGTACCCTCGGGTGGGCTGCCACCCTCTCTGAGCTTCAACCTGGATACTCCCAGAGGACGGGGCTGACTCAGATGGTTCCCACCATGGCCCGCAGAGTGGGTGAGCACGCATCCCTGCCCCCTCCTGCAACCAGCCTACCCTCTCCTTCTCTACTTGCCGGCTCTGCCACCCCCGGCCAGTTTCTGAACCTCCGTGGGCCTCCATCTAAGTCACGGCCAGAGGGATGGATGCTAGTGCCTTCCAGGTCCCAAGCTCCGAAGCAAGTGACTGGAGGTGCACACGTTTTCCAAGCGATGCTTGGAGGGGGATGACTGCACCACGAGGAAGACACGGGCAGGGGCATTGGGGCCACAGACCACAGCAGCAGTGATGAGCCTACTCTGAGCCGCAATGACCTTGATCTCCACTGGTCCTGGGCCCCCTACTGCTGGGTGGCTTTGAAATCAGGGCAGGTGGAAGTCCCGACTGTGCGCTAGCCTGAGGCCAGGCTGAGACTCAGGAGCCTGGACTCCGGGTTACATATTAAACCTGGGTCCCACCCTGATTCCCAGCAGGGGCTGCCTCCCGCTGCTCCCAGCCCCCGCCTTCCTGTCACTCCCCTACCTGGCGCCCTTGTTCCTCCCTCACCACTTCCCTGTGCCCTAGGCAGCAGCCACCTTCCCCATTGGGCCAAATCTTTCCCTCAGGAGCGACAGCCCCCCATCCGCCTGTGGCACGTCCCTAGGGAGGGGGATGCCACAGACCTCAGCCTTACCCAGGAAGGGTCTGCTGCCCTGATGTCAGGCCTGAGGGGCAGAAGTGGGGTTGGGGGCTCCCCCACCCTGCTCATGCCAGGTCCGCCCCACTCACCAGCCAGCGGCACAATTAGAGAGCAGAGGGCAGCCACGCGGAGCAGCCAGGAGAGCGGGGAAGCCATGGCTGAGGGCGATGGGGGTCCAGGCGGGGATCCAGGTAAGGCCAGGGCAGGTGGCCAGGCCGGCTTCCGAGCTCCCTGCGCCTTCCCGCAGCCGACCTGCCAGCGCTCTGTCCTTAAGAAGCCAGGCTCAGAGCCTCCGCCTCCGCCTCCGCCTCCCAGCCCCCCTGCAGGGAGGCGGTGGGAGGGGAAAGGCAGAGAGCCAGCACACACGGATGAGATTCCTCTGGATGTTGCCAAGGAACCGAAGGCTCAGTGGAGGGAGGGCCCACGGCGGGGGCTACTGGGCTGGCTGCTCACGATGGCTCCTCAAACCAGAAACTGCTGGGGAGGCTGGACCAGGGCTGCTACGGCTCGAACAGCCCCCTCTCTTCCCACCCACCCAGTCAGCTCCATACTGGGAGATGGCACATGCCCTTTGGTCAGGCCTGGGGCCCCAGCTCCTCAGTGGGTGATAAACAAAGGACAGAGGGGCCCAGGAACAGAGAATACTGGCTGTGAGCACCGAGAGGCCCAGCGCCCTGCCGCTCTGGGGCTGACAAGCTCTCCCCTGGCCTGGCCGTATCTCCCCCACACCATGAAGGACCCCCAGCCTTTACCCCTTGAAGCCTCATCCTGGGGGAACTTGTTCATCAGAATATTCCCCTACAGGCGCCCAGTAAGCAGGGGCTTGGTATAGTAAATGTCATAGGGACAGATAGGGAAACTGAGGCCCAGGGAGAGGGCAGAATCACCCCAGGACATAGAAAGCATCAGGGTTGGAAGAATGCCACAGGGAAGATGCCGTGGCTCGAGCTGTGGTGTGGCCAGCTCAGGACACAGAAGGGGGCCCCGTGTCCCGGCCTCCAGCACCCCCACCTGACTGGCCTTCCCCCTTTCCACCAACTCCCATCTCCGGCTCTGGCCTCTGTGAACAACACCGCTGGCAACCTCACCCAGGTCGCTCCGTGTTTATCTTCCACCCGCAATGCGTCCGGCCTGTCTCAGGGGGTCCCGTTTTCCTCCTGTACAAGGTGGGGAGTTGGGTCAGCCCACCGAGGAGGGGACTTCACAGCTCTGATTGGCCAGGACAACAGGGCCAGACCCGAACAGCCGGCAGCTCCCAACAGGCCTGTGTGGATTGCTGCAGGTGTTGGTGGCAATGATGTCGATTTATTAGTATCTTCCCGGAAGGCGGGGGCCCAGCCTGGCGGCGTAGGTAGAAGCCGCTCAATCTAACTGTGTCTCTGGGCTGCCAGCCACAGGAAAACCAGTTTGTCTGTGAGTCACAGTCCCAGGCTATAGATCTAGCTCCCACGGCCAGGGGACCGCTCTCACAAGCACAGTAGGGCTGCCTGGGGTGTGGGGCTCCAAGGCTGGACCCTGCTTGGCAGGAAAGACCACCCACCCCTGCACGGGCCAATGTCCACTGTTTTAAGTGCTTTGCATGATTAAATTGCCTAATCATGGTCACAAACCCAGGGTATAAGCCAAATATCACTGTCGTGGCCCATTTAATGGGTGGGGAAACTGAGGCATGCAGAAGTCAAGGAATTTTCTGAGAATCTCCAGTCAGGAAGCAGGGGAGCCTGGACCTGCCCCAGGCACTTAGCTCTGGGGTCTGAGCTCACGACCACCAGGCTATCCCACCTTCCCCTCCACCCCTACTTCGAAGACTGCTATGAAAATTGAGTTTAGTGTCTGTAAGGGCCCAGCAGGAAACAGCTGCCAAAACACCAAGAATGGCACTGCTCTTCTTTGCTCAGCCCTTGGGGAGGTCCTCTGCCCTCTTCTGCTCCAAATTTCCCTCCCACAATATTGGAATGGTCACCCCACTGACCTTATCAGGGCATTAAAGACTAACTGTGTTCAGATTCAATGCCGACACAGTACCCTGGCTTTCGGGTCAGCCAGACCTGGTACCAAACCTGACTCCACCACGTACGAAGGGTATCCCCCTTGGGCAAGTGACTTAACCTCTTGGCCCTCAGCTTCCCTATCTGTAAAATGGGAGGCTATAGCCACGTCATCAGTCAGTCACCAGGGGAGTATTAACTAAGACTTTCACTGCCTGGCCTGCACAAGTGACTCATGTCTGTCACTGAGCCCTGGCGTGTGCCTGGCACTCTGGTGGGACGGGGGACCCAAAGGCAAGTCCATAAGACAAGTCCTTGCCCCAAGGAGCCCCAACTCAGCAGGACAAAGAAAGTGCGGGTCCTGGGGGAGGGGAGAGGACTTCATTCTTATCTGAGCATCAAAGAAGGCGGAGTGAGAGGTGACGGCTCAGATAGAAGATGGGCAGAGGATTGGTTTGTTTCTTTCATATTGTCATTGAGAAAATTTTTAAACAGTAAAGAAGTGGGACAAAGAATGTTCATATCTCTACCACCTCCATGCAATGACGAGCATTTTTCCTTATTCATCTTTTTTTTTTTTTTGGTCCATCCAACTATGGATGCTTGATGTCTTGCCCTGAAATACAGCAGCATGCATCTCCATAGCGTAAAGATACTGCCTTTTAGTAATATAGTGCTGTTATCCCACCTAAAATGAATAATAACTCCTACAGGTAATACTCAGTGCATATCAGATTTCTCTAATGGTCCCCAAAACGCATTTTATAGTTTCTTCTCCCTTTCTCTTTCCTCTTTTTCCTCCTTCCTCTCTCCCTCCTGTCTGTTTCCTTCTTTAAGTTTTTGAACCAGGACCCGATCTAGGTTCATCCATAGTATATGGTTATTTCTTTTTAGTCTACAACAGATTCTGCATCCCCCCTCACCCGTGCTGCCTGGGTGCATTTACATGGCATTGACTTTTCAAAGGATCAAGACTGTTGTCTCACACACCGTGATCATTCTTATTTTCTCTAAGCATGATGTCATTTTATTTGTTCCCTACCCTCTGTATTTCCTTCAATCCAGGAGTTAGATGTGTGGGTTTGATGAGATCCTGGCTACATTCTTGGCAAGAACTTCCCCGATTATGATGTCATCTGATCTATTCCCCTATCTTCTGTATTTCCTATAACCCGGGAGTTAGATCTGTGGGTTTGGGGAGATCCTGGCTACATTCTTGGCAGGAATTTCTCATCACAAGCCACACAACAGACAGGCCATTCCACTAACAGAACTCTCTGCAGGGGAAGCATCCCCTTCCTGATTCACAACTAGCCCGCGGTGCCCAGCCGGGCGGGATTTTCCCAGACCCTTTCAGGCGCAGGGAAAAACCTAACCCAGGAGGGAAGCGCTGGACCTAGGCAGGGGATGAGGAATGATCCGATGATGCTGGCTTCAAGGAAGAAGTAAGCAGAGAGGCTGCAGTTAGATACTTGGAAGCTGGAGCAAGGGATGAAGATACTATTCAGGGGCAAAGGGAGCTGAGGAATAAATAGAGCCAAGGGCGTGATGAAGCAGTCGGTCAGTGGGGTCAGTGGGGTCAGTGGGATGGGGGTGACAAGGGTATCCCTGCTCACACCTTCCTGGGTGCCCCAGAGAGCAGGCAGCCTGCACCGGTCTTGTGGGACATGAGGGATTTCCCTGGGTCCTGGAGGCAGAACAGCAGGGCTGTGGGAGCAGGGCAGGGGGCTCAGGGCACGCCTGTGGGGACCCAGGGTGGTGGAGGGCACAGGTTGGCCAGTCAGGTGGCCATCTCCAGGGCCCCTTGCTGCCCCACCCAGCTCTGGCCAGCTCCCGCTTGTGGCCGATAAGAAGGGTTGCCCCTGTGCACTTGGTATTTCCTGTGCACATGCCCTCTCTTTACTGCGATAAAACACCCTTCCAACCATCTCTAAGACTGCAGAGCGCACTGTGGTGAAGCCAGCATCCCGTCCACCTCTGGAACTTCTCGATTTTGCAAAACCGAAAGTCTGGACCCATTGAATAACTCTGGATTTCTCCTCCTCCAGCCCCGGAAACCACCACTCCACTTTTTGTCTCTGCAGGTCTGACGCCTCTAAGAATCGCACAGTATCGGTCCTTTCGTGACCGGCTCATTTCACTCATCACAGCATCTTCGAAGCCTCACCCATGTTGTCGCAGGTGTCTGGACGTCCTTCCTCGTTAAGGTCGAACACTATCCTGTAGATCCCATCTTGCTTATTCACTCAGCTGTCGATGGACGCTTGGGTTGTTTCCACCGTTCGGCTATTGTGGGGATGCTGCATTAAACACGGGTGTGCAAATAGATGTTTGAGTCCCTGCTTTCAATTCTTTTGTGTATATTCCTGGAGGTGGAATTACTGGATCAGGTGGTAATTCTATGTTAACAGAACCCGCACGCTGCTTTCCACGGCAACGGCGGCATTTTCCATTCCCACCACCAATCACGAGGGTTCCGATTTCTCCACACCAATCTTGTTTTAAATATGGATGTAATGCCCATCCTCATGGGTGTGAGGTGGCATCTCACTGGAGTTTTGATTAGCATTTCCCTTGTGATTACTGATGCTGAGCATATCTTTTCCTGTGTTTATTGACCGTGTGCACATCTTCTTTGAAGAAATGTCTACTCACGTCTTTGCCCGTGTTGTTACTGGGCTCTATCTTCTTTGTGCCTTGGATTCTCATGGCCACAAGCCCTGGCATCTGCTTCTATGCTCCCCACTCACAGGGGTAGAAACTGAGGGTCAGAGGGATGAGCAAGTTGTTTGGACACCAGCCAGCGAGCGTTTCTAGTCTGCCCAAAACCGTGACATGTGCCTTTCTTGATGCTTCTCCCTGCCCTGAGGGAGGAGAAGCCCTCTCTGCTGTTTTGGCAGAGGGAGCTGTGTCCACAAACCCCAGGAGAGCAGGCCTGTTTGAAGACCCCGGGGAGCTCAGCACCAGATGAACTAGGTGCTCCCCAAACCAACTCCCTTTACTTTCTGGACACATGGCTTGACTGTACTTCCCAGCATCCCTTGAGGTCAGGGTGGCCATGTGACTGAGTTTTGCCAATGGCACGTGGGCCGAAGTGATGAGCCCCTCTTCCTGCGCCCCCACCAATAGGCTATGTTCCCTGACCCCATTGGCTGAAGGGTGGGAAGAAGTCCAGGTCCTCTGGGAGCCCGGGTCCCTGAATGACCATGGGGAAGGTTGCCCTTGGACCAGGAATGCCTTCTTCAACTTCACAGGAGAAGAAAACTTCTGTGGGGTTGAGCCACTGAGATTTTGAGGTTTGTTGCATAAAGGAGATTTTCCTGACTAACACAACTCTTCTTCCTTTGAGTCTACACTCGAAGGGGGAAGGTTGGGGCTGGATTGTTGAGTGACTGACTGAATGAAGGAATGTGCCCCTAGAGCTCCAGCCCTGGGGACTGAGTGGAGGGCTTCATCAGACCCTCCTGACCGGTGGTCCCAGGGTGGGCCAGGCCTGGCGGACCACTGTGTAGGCTTCCTTCTTGGCACCTGAGCAGCTACTTCCCAGGTCTGTCTGGTCCTGGCTCCCCACCCCCTCCTACAGTGACTTCCCCTAGGCAAGCCAGCTCACGTGTCAATGTCAAGGGCTTTCCACCAGGTGCCTCCTACCCCTCCTCCCAGGGACAGCAAATGGCAAGGAACAAGCAGACACCATTGTTGAGGATTTATTTCTAAAAGGTCTGAGGGCCAGGGGCAGGACAGGAAGGGAGGGGGAATCCCAGGACATTTGTGGGCTCTGTGGAGGGGCAGCATGCAGGCTTGCACTTCCGGTGCCCGTGGTGGGCAGATGGGCGGGACTGCAGGGGGGACACCGGCCCTGGAAGACTCTGAGTTTCAGGGCTGCCAAAGCCACTGTCTGCGTCTTGGACCTGAGCCCCCAGCGGCTCTGCAAAACGGGTGTTCTCGTTCATAGGTGAGGCTCGGGGAGGGGAGATGGTCCCCTCGGGGTCACAGAGTGACAGCCACCCCACTGAGTGGTACCAGGTTCCCTTGGAAAGGAACCAGGACGTGTAAAGCTTATTTCCTTTTACCTGGGGAACCTACTGATCCTATGGAGGAACAATTAAGTCTCAAGTCCCAGGCCTTAGCCTGGCCCCAGCCACCTGAGAGTGACCTCCACCCAAGGCTTTTTCACTTAACTATACCCTGTGCACTTCTCCCGGGGCCAGGAAAGCTCTGCCTTGTCCCTTTCCCACACGGTTCCTGAAATTCTCCCAACCATCCATATGGCCTTCTATGCCTCTTAAGCATTTTCTGCCTTCTCATATACAAATATAACTAGAGTTTGTAATACCAAGCCAAGGGTAGTCATTCACACCATAGCATGAATTTAGTTATCAGCTATGTAGAGAAAGGGAAAGTGGGGAACTCTGAAAAGGTCAGGCCTGGGTTTGGGAGGTTACAGGAGCAGTAAAAACCCGAGGGAAGCAAGGAGCGTGAAGAGACCCAACACGCAGTAAAATGGGGGAGAGGTGAAGGTGAGCAAGGCAGAGGCTCCACCATTGACCCAGCTGGCTCCTGCCTGGATGGCCTGGAGTCTCAGTATTGATGTGTGAGGGCTTTTAGGGGTGGGAGAGGGACATTGCTTTTATGGGTTCTGTCTGCGGCCACTCGCCGATCCCAGATTCTGCGCCAGGCCCTGAGCTCTGTCCTAGAGGCCAGGAGACAGAAGCGGCTCAGGTGTGGATCTTGGTCCAGCCAGAGAGGTTGGAAGACAAGCTCCCACACCCCAGAAGTTCTGGGCAAACTGTAATCAGGGCTCTTAAGAAGGGGCAGAGGGTCAGAGGAAGTCTACAAACCCAAACTCAATTACTTAGAAATAGTGTGTCTCTTAGGACTGTTTGGCCGAGAGTGACAGACATTGACTCTGCCAACCGTAAGCTTAAAAGGAAAATATAATAAAAGTAAACTTCGATTACTGGCTGCTTAGGCTGAGCAATGCCTTGGAGGGCTGGTGGTCAGACACGTGCTGGTGTTGGGGAGGCACTGTGGGTGTCAGGAACACACAGGTGAGGACCCAGACATAGAAATGTACTACGGCAAGGGTTTGGAGGACAGGGAGCTGGAGTTCGATGTGCATGCTGGGAAATGAGGCGGGGCTGGAGACTGCGATGGGACTGGGTCAGGAGGCAGGGGAGCCAGGCTCAGAAGCTCTGACCCAAGCCTCGGGCAATGGGGAGCCATGGAAGGGCTTGGAGCAGGGGAGTGACTGACCAGAGCTGTGGACCCTCTGGCTACAGGAGGACAGAGGATGTTAGAGGAGGAAGAGGGGAGAAGAGAGTGACAGCTGTGGCATGGAGGATGACAGCTGCAGGGCTGGAGATCAGGGAGCGCAGAGTCTTTGGCCAGGGAGCAGCTGTAATGGCAGGAAGGTAGGGATCCAGGAGCCTTTCTGGAGGAGCCAAGGCCACAGTCATCAGGGCAGGACCCTTCCTCAAAAGACCAGCCTCTGGAGAATCCTCTTCACCCAGTGCGATTCGGGATGGGCGCAGATCTGCCGGCCCTTGGTGGTTAGCAGGCTGGAAGGAGGAGACGTGGGGGCCGCCATGAGACAGCAGTAGCATGCAGGGAGGCTGCCACATCCTGCCCAGAAAGCTTGGCCTGTATGAGTCACCTACTGTATGTACAGATGCCTTCTCTATACAGTGGCTTAGCATTTATGAGCCACCTGCTGTATGCAAACATATTTCTTAGGGAGGAGAGGGGGAGATGGGCAAGAGAACTTCCCACACCTTAGCCCATCAGCCTTGAGTGCCAGGTCCGTCCAGGGAGCAAAGTGGCGCCAGAGTCTCATGACCGTTGCTGACGTGGCCTTGAGGAGAGAGTATTGGGTAGTGGCCAAGAGCATGGACTTTGGAGTCAGCTTATCTGGGTTAAAATCTTAGCCCTGACACTTGTTAGCAGGTCCTTTGACTTCTCTGAGTCTCCCTTTCCACATATGTAAAGTGGGGGTGAGAATCATGGTCCAGACTCACAGGGTTCTGATGACATTTGATGTGTTGATATACGCTGGAGTGCAGAGAGAGCAGGATGTACTATGTAATTGTGCCAGGAGCTGGCCTGAACCCTGGACATTAGTTCTCTTAATGAATCCTCACAGCAATCCTATGGGGTCTGATTATTTTCTCCGTTTCATAGCCGAGGGATGCGAGGCAAAGCCACTTGCCTGAGTGCCAGAGCTGGCGAAGAAGTGGCAAAGCCACTGTGCTCGCTGTGAACTGGACTCTCAGGGGCCAGTGTCCTTGCAGAGTGTCCCCACGCGGGCCTCCCCGAGAGGCCCAAAGCACAGAGGGGTGCACACTAGCCCAATATCACACAGCAATTGTGGGTAAAGGCTCCCGACCTCACCCAAACTGTGGCAAACGCCACGCTGGGCCCCTTGGGGCACTCTGCCCCCACCCTTGTTGGTAGGACATCTTCCAGCCTGGGGCTCCCTTCCTGCTGTTCAAGAAAGAGCCTGTCCTGGGGCCAGGAGCTTCTAGCTGCCCTTACTTCCCTGACCGGCCCCACTGCATAGACCACCAATGAACAGAAAGAAAAAGAAGTGTGCAGCATTGACCTTGGCCTTGTGGGCAGCCTGCCCTGTCTGCTGTATGACAGTGGGCAAGGCTCAGCCCCCGATCTCCCCATTTGTCAAGACACGTTCTTTCTAGAATCCCTTCCAGCTCCGAGCCTGGTAATCACATGTGTGCCGTGTTTATGGAGCACCGAGCACCTGCCGGGCACCGCGCTCTCCACCTATGATTCCTGCGCCCCGTGATGCTCGAGGGGCCGCATAACCTCTCTGTGCCCAGTTCTTACCTGTAAAAAGGGGGTCGCAACCGTGCCTGCTACATAAGATTGTTTTAAGTATTAAATGAGTTACGATTTATAAAGGGTTTATAACAGTGCCTGGCACTTAGCAAGCACTCTTGATACATCTGATAAATGAAAATAAATAAAGGTGCTCATTTGGGGATCATGATGGGGTAGGTGAGGCTCAGAGTTGAAGTGACAAGAGCCCTGGGAGGGCTTCCTGCTTCAGCCTTCTTTGGTATTCACCGGCAGACCCCTCTGAGGGATGAAGATGAGTGAGGAGGGCGAGGAGGAGACGATGACAGAGCCCCAAAGATGTCGCGAGATGTCATGAGTCCCCAAGCCCCACTCCCCCCACCCCAGTGTGTGGCTTGGCAGCAGGCTGGGAGAAGCCAGAGTGGCAGCTGGCGAGGCTGCCCCGAGCGGACAGGCGATGGGGGAGAGGGAAGCAAAGAAGCTGAGGGAAAGAAGGGGCCCCGGTTCCAGCCTGGGCCACGCTGGGCGCGTCACTTCCCCTCCCTGAACCTATTTCTCCACCTATGAAATGGGAGCAACTGAGCCTCCTGCAGGGTCATCGTGAGGGTCAGGGGGCTTGGTGCAGTGACCCCAGAACAGTGCCTGGCCCAGATCGAATACTCTGTATGTGTGAGCCCTTAATACTCTTCTTCTGGAAAGGACGACGGCTACCTCGGGCAACTCCCAGGACCTTGGGGAGGACCCAAGATGTTTCTGATAGGCGCATCTTTGTCACAGGCTCTGCGCCCATGCCCTGTGGCTCTAGACTGCCTACACCACCATCCCCACAGGGGTGTATCTGTTCATTTTGCTCAGCATCCTCAGAACTTGGCAGGCTGCCTGCACAGAATAGGCACCCATAACATTTCTCGAAGGATCACATGCCCTTCTTTCTCAGTACACTCCAGCCTGGGCTGTGCCAGCTGCTGCAGGCAAGCGCTTCCAGTGCCTTCCCCACCCACCTGCACCTGGGCCCACACCCGGCAGGCTCTCCGAGGCCCTGCCTCCCCAGCGCCCCACTTACACCACGCCAGGCCTCCGGCAGGAGTGTGAAGTCTGGTAATAACCCTTCACCAACCGCAGGGGCACGGGGTGACGGATGTGGTCCCGGCAGCAGATGCTGTCCTCCACGTTGGCTCCATAAGGGCCTGGGGAAGAGAGGTGCTCAGAGGCTGGGCACAGAACCCCACCCTCGACACAGCTTTTTCTGTGGAAGGTTGGTGTCAGAGGGTTTGGGCCCCTGAGAAGCCACTAAGAGCCCAATGTCATTACTCTGGATCATTCTGGTCAAAGGTGAGACATTCAGAAAAACTGGGCATCCGTGATGCCCTACGCTTCCAGATGGGCCCCAGAGATGCTGAACAGGGAGAAGCCCTAGAACTTTGCTCTGCAATGAGGCCACACACCGGCACCATCAGCATCACCTAGGAGCTGCTGAGAAATGCTCAGAGCCCAGCCCCGGCCTTGCCGAATCAGATGGGCAGGCCGACGGGATCCCAAGTGCTTCAGAAGTCTGCTTCAGCTCCATCCACTTGAACCCCCTTCATGGAGCAAATGGTGAGGCTAAAGTCCAGGGAGGGGGAGGACTTACCCAGAGTCACACAGCACGACTCTGGAGAGCCAGGGCTGAGGCAGAGCCCAGTCACAAGGACTGGTGTTCGAGTCCCACCAGGCCACTTGAGGGAAGGCCCAATTTCTTTCTCTGACCAAGGGGGTAATAATAGCACGGCCTCTGTGGGGCTTTCAGTGCAAGGAAAACACTCAGGAGCCCAAATCTCCGAGCAATTGTTTCTCTCAGCTGCCCGACCCCCACTCCAGCTCTCCTTCCCCCACCCGATCCAGGGCCGGAGCATTTACGTTGTCATGGAAAAGACGAATGAGGACCCCAGCCTTGAGGGCCTGCTCTGGAGCAAACTGGGGTGGTGGCAGGGCGGGGTCAGCAAAGGCGTATCCCTTGTCTCAGCTCCTGTCCCCCGTTCCAGCTGCCAGTGCTTCTCCGCACCCCAAGGGCCCTGCACTCCAGTTCTCTGGAGTTGAGGACCCTAGGCCATGCCTGCCACAACCCCCAACCAGCTGAGACAGACCCTAGACTTAAGCCTTCAAAACTACCCATTTAACAGATGTGTACGCAGAGGCCCAGAGAAGCAAAGAGACTGGCTCAAGAGGCAGAGGCACACTGGGGTATCTGCTCTCGCTCCAGCATGCTTCCCACTCCATGAGAAGCATGCCCCAGGGTGCGACCCTGGTTTACGCAGGAAGCCCGCCCTCTGCCCAGCCTCACCCGCCTCAGTTGCTTGAAGCGCCATAGCCAGAAGGATCAGGACAGCCAGGAGCGCGGTCTGTAGGCTGGCCATGCTCCTGTCCTCTGTGTCCCAGGCCAGGTGTCTACGATGGCCGGAAGACCCCAAGGTCTGATATTTAAGCGTTGCTACACCCACAAGCCTTGAACACTCTTAGTCATTGGTGAGCAAATTCTGACACTCGCATTATGAAAGGAGAACTCCCGCTTCCTCCATGTTGGAGGAAATTTTCTGTGGCTGCAACCATCAGAGGGGACCCTGACCCTCCTCCCCTCTGAACCTCCAGGGACTCGCAAAATCCCCCTTGAGCTGGGCCTCTTGGAGGCCTTCGCTCCTAAGACCTGCTCAGAAGTGTCCGTGCCACTGGGTGTCTCTGGGAATGGAGACGATGGTTTCAGAGCCCTGCCTGGTCACCTTGGCATCTGTCAGTAAGTCAGGAGAGAATGAGGACAGGCACTAAACAGCCCCCCGAACCCTCAGCTGGAACGAAGACCTGTCTGCTACCCTTGGCGGTCGTGGTTGATCTCTGGTCCCTGGGACAGGCCTACGCACACACTGATTTGCTTTCTCTACCTCATCACCAGCCTCTTCCGTGGCTTCTCGCAAAGTCCCGACTCAGGCCGGTTCACGGTCCACTCAACAGTTTCGAGGAGTTTGCACCCGCATTTCTATCTTCCCTGTCTCCTTCTCCAGCTGCCTCTGAGCTCTTCCTCACCGGCCCCTTCTCAGTCTCCCACCATGTCCTGCGGACTCTATGTGCTACCTGTCCCTCAGGTCTGGCTTCTTCCCTCCACCCCCATCGTCCCTGCCCAGCCCAGGCCACCTCTGTCTCAGGCTCGGATGTGGGTCCCTCGGCCTCTGTCTGTGTGGCAGCGGCCAGAGCGCGTGCGCAGCCCAGGTTCAGAGCGACACATGTGTCTCTCGTGCTTCCAAACCCTGCTGCGGTCCCCTGACCTGAGGGCAGTGGCAAAGCTCCTGCCCGTGTCCTTCAAGGCCCCCTTCCCAGACATGCTTCCGCCCCCACGGTCTCCCGCCACATGGCTCACAGTTCCTCTAAGAGGTCTGCGGCCTGTCCCAGGCCGTGAATGCCCTTTCCACTTCTCTACCTCATAAACTCCCACTCGCGTGTCCATGGCCACGTGAAATGTCACCTCCCAGGGAGGCCCGCCCCCTCGGGGCTTGAGAGGTCTCCGGGGTGACCTGGACTGGGGACCTGGGAAGACTGTCCGGTTTCCCCACTCTTGGGCCCCTCCCCAGAAACTGGCCTCCCAGCTCTGGGAAGGCAGGGGTCTCCTTTCCGGAGTCTCGGCATTCCCGGTGTCTACCAAGAGTGGAGTACAGGTTGGGTGCTCAGGAGACACTGAGTGAAGGAGGGTACTGAAGAGAAAGAGGGGACTTGCCCAGGGTCTCAGGGCCTGGGACTGGCTGCGCCAGGCCTAGAATTCAGCACTCAGCACTCCACTTGGAAAGGGACCCACCCGTTCATTTAGCATCCATTCAATAAATATTTAAGACAGAATAATGCCCCCAGTCCCCCCCAAAAGATGTCCACTTTCTAATTCCCAAAACCTGTGAATATGTGACCTTCCATTTGAAAAGGGCAAATTAAACAGAATGTGCAGAGGACCTGAACGGCCCCAGGTAAGCACAGGGCCATGGGACCACTGTAAGAGGAGAGCGGTGAGTCAGCCTCCGACAGGAACCCAGAGGGCAGAAACGGGGGCCCCCTTGCAGAGGGAGACTGACCTTGGGGGGGGGCAGGTGGCCCTCCAGCATCTGCAAAGGCAAGGAAACAGATCCTTCCCTCCCCAGAGGCTGCCTTAGGCCTTCTGACCTCACTCTGACCTTCTGACCTATGTTTATTTTTTAAAAGATTTTATTCATTTATTTTATTTTTAGAGAGAGGGGAAGGGAGGGAGGAAGAGAGGGAGAGAAACATCATTGTGTGGTTGCCTCTCACATGGCCCCCCACTGGGGACCTGGCCTGCAACCCAGGCACGTATGTGCCCTGGCTGGGAGTTGAACTGGTGACCTTTTGGTTCACAGCCCACACTCAGTCCACTAAGCCACACCAGCCAGGGCTACATTTGTGTTGTTTTAAAGCCACCAAGTTTGTGGTCATTCATTATAACAGCAAGAGGGGAACTAAGCCAAGTCCCTGCCACATGCCAGGGAACTTGGGGTCACCGCAGTGAACAGGTCCCAGCTCTCGAGGGGGTTACCTTGGAGACAGACGGTAAACAGGCGAGCAAATACCGAACGTGGTTATGGCAGGTTGTGACAAGTGCCGGGAAGGAAATGAAACAGGGAAGGTGTTGTGGGTGTCCAGAGAAGCCTCTCCACAGGGGTGGCACTGGACTGGAATCCAGAGGGTACCGAGAAGTCTGCCAGGAAAGAAAGGCCACATACAAAGGCCCTGGCTCGGGGAGAGGGCTGAGTACCTGGGAGGGGGGCGGGGGACAGGGTGCAGCCGGTGGAAGGGGTGGGCAGGCAGGAGTGAGCCTTCTGTGAACGTGCCACTGGCACGCATCGAAAATACACAGCGTCACCCGCAAAGGCCTGTGGTCAAAGGTGTCGCCCAAAGCCGGTCACAGCAGGACAGACACTGTATGAGCCACATCGTGAGGTCCCTGAAAGAGCCAAGTTCACAGAGACAGAAGGCAGAATGGTGGCCGCCGGGGCTGGAGCCTGTATTATCAGACAGATATGGAGTTTTGTTGGGGAAGATGAACAAGTTGTGGAGGGGCTGGTGGTGGTGATGGCTGCACAGGAACGTGAGCGATTGAATGCCACAGATCTGTGGACTTGTCGGTGGCAAATTTTGTTCGGGCTATTTTACCAATGAAAAAGAAAACAGTGGCCCGTGAAAAGGCATTCCACGTCCCCTGTCACCACGGAAAGGTGCCGGCAGGCTGTGGAGCGAAGGAAACTCCCCTGCGCAGCTGTGGGAATGCAAACGGGCGTGGCCACCTGGGAACACAGTTTGTCGGCTTATGACAAAATAAACACACTCTTACCATACAATGCAGAGACCACATTTCACAGGAGCTGAACACTTAACGTCCACGCAAAAACCTAGGGGACGGCAGCTGGATTGAGAACTGTCAGAACTGAGGAGCAACCAAGATGTCCTTCAGGACATGCCTGGGTGAATCAACTCAGCCCCACTCAGATAATGGGATTATGGTGCAGCACTAAAATAAATGATGAAAAGGGGGCTCTCAAGGCCTGAAAAGACTGGAGGGAGACTTGGCGTATAGCAGGAGGGAGACTGCTAAGTGAGAGAAGTCGGTCTGAAAAGGCCGGTGCGTACACTGTACTGAGTCCAACTAGATGACCTTCAGGAAAAGGTGACACCGTGGAGACAGAGAAGAGAGCAGTGGTCGCCGGGGGTGAGGTGGGGGGGGTCACCGGGAGGGGCAGAGAGGATTTTTGAGACCGTGAACCTCCTCTGTGTGATACCAGCGTGATGTATGCACGTGTGTGGCACCAAGAGTGCACCCCAATGTAGACCGTGACGGGGTGCGATGTGTCCTGCAGGCTCACGATTGTAACGCACGTCCCGCGATGCTGGGGGACACTGGCAACAGGGGAGCCCATGTGTGTGTGGGGGCAGGGAGTACATCAGAAACCTCTGTCCCTTCCCCTCAGGTTTGCTGCGAACCTGCAGCTGCTCTCAAAAAAAAAAAAAAAAAAAGTCTTTCAAACCAGAAAAGGTGTTGTTACCCAGAATCTAATCAAGCCTTAACTTTATTTTTAGTTGATCGGAAATGCAGGGGGTAGAAAAAGAGGAATGACCCTACAAGAAAACAGTCCGACAGTTCTCGAAGGTGGGGCCTTCCTGCCTTCTACAAGAAAACCATCCCAGCAGCAAGAAAGAAGTTTTCTAAAAAGTACATACGATCAGTTAAGATGAAGAGGTGGTTAGGAGACCTGACATCTAAGTCAGTGCGGTGCAGGACCTTGGCCTGAGCTCTGGTTTTTGAAAAACAGCAATGAAAGGCCTTTTGGGGATAAATGGGGAAATTTTAACATTAGAGGACACCAGGGCTTTATTGCTGGTTTTCTTAGGTGTTATAAAGACTTAGAGGGTAAGTAGGAGAACATGCTTGTTCTTGAGAGATGCATACTGAAGAATCTCAGGGTGAAGGTCATGATGCTCTTACCTCTGAAGAATTCATGTTCAGAGGAAATGTGTGTGTATAGATATATGTGTGCCCATTGTATTTAATGTGTGTGCATTCCCACTTATATGTATACATGCATGTGTGTACATATATGAGGTATGTGTAGGTATAGTAATATCTCAAACAGAGAAAGGGAGAAGCGAGACACACATGGAAACATATTAACAACTTGCAGGTAGGTGGTGGATATGCTGGTACCCCGACAACTTTCCTGAACAAGTAAAATGTTTCATAATAAAAACTGGGGGAGCCCTGGCTGATGTAGCTCAGTGGATTGAGCACGGGCCTGTGAAGCAAAGGGTCTCTGGTTCCATTCACAGTTAGGGCACATGCCTGGGTTGCAGGCCAGGTCCCCAGTAGGGGACACATGAGAGGCAACCACACACTGATGTTTCTCTCCCACTCTTTCTCCTTCCCTTCCCCTCTCTCTAAAAATAAATAAATAAAATATTTTTTAAAAAACGGGGAAAGAGAAAAATATTTTTTAATGTGGATGTCACCTTTGAATAATCAGCTGTGTTTGGAGGGCTGTGAGAGACAGAGAATCAGTCTGCTGGCTCTTCATCCGAAATGGGGGTTTTTGATGGGGGGGGCCTCCAGGGCTGAGGCCCCTCCAAGGGTGGTCTCGGGGGCTCCCCCCTGGAGAGCACCTGTGTCCCCAGGGACTCACAGGGCCCTGTGCCCTTCCTGCTGGCTGGGCCATCACCCCATTTCCCCAGGACCTGGACGGGGGGGGGGGGAGGGGGGGAGACACACCTGTAACCAGCCAACCTCCGCCCCCCAACCCCTGGGGCCCTGGACAAGAGTCAGGCACAGCGTTCAGAGAGCCCTGAGCTGCCAGGCAGTGTGCGGAGGGCCAGTTGTCAAAGGAAAGGGGAGGTCCTCTGG